CATATACCAGATGTTCTCAGATAGTGTGCGTAACACTGGGGCTCGTTTTCTTCATATGCTGACCGTCTACCGTACTCTAGCAAGTCGCAATGAGTAACCAACAACACATTTCGCAAGCATGCAGTATGGGATCAAGCCTCTCTGGATTCGACTTGTGGACTATTGTTGGCGAATGGACACCCGCCTCGACTGATTGCGCCAAATATCTGAACGGACGAGGCGTTGGCTCTCGCTACGATGGCAGTTACAGCGGCTCGTCGGGCGTGGGTAGCTGCACAGGCAAGACTGGAAGCGCATCCTCGTTCAGCTCGAGCTATAAGACGTTTTTGCGACAATTCTGGGAGGCGCAGGTGATTACATACGAGAAAGGGGAGGGCTGGATTCAGTGGACCTGGAAAGTCGAGGACGCTGATGACTGGTCCTACCAGGCTGGTTTAAAGAATGGCTGGATACCTCAGGATCCAACTGACTACAAATACCCCAATATCTGCAACTAATGTACATATTGCCGTCAGCTATGAACATACCCCAATCCAAACTCTGAGTACATACATACTTTGTTGTCATTTCGTCCACTTTCAAGAACGTGGATACCCCCACATGACTTGCTTACAAATCGGAACCTGCACACAGCCAATCGGCTATGAAGCAGCTCTCCAAAGCTGGTTACGGGCCTTCATTCGCCTTTAAGGCTCTGATCATGCCATGGATCATAGCAGGGAGGCGAACACGCGCCGGGCCTGGCAGTGACCACGATATCCACTGCTTTCCATGAGCACGAAGGTAACTTGGGGCGATTCGGCAATTCGTCTTCTGGCGGCAGTCCTAGTTACAAGTATGCATGCTCCGGTGGAATGCTGTCCCGCGTTTGTACCCAATACTGATGCAGCGCTTGTCGATAAGACGCAGCTCAATGGAGCTTTTGGGGCATTCCTGTTTGCTGGCCTGGCCTGGACCCGATCCCTTCCCAACTCGGCTCGGTAGGACATCCATTCCACACGTGAAGGTCGTGCCGTACTTGCATGCATCTCCAACTTCAAGAATATCTTCCTTTCTGATAGGTCCCCATCGTCTTATGACAGGTATCTTAGGCAATGCCCCTGGTGCTGGCCGTGGAGCGAACGGATGCCTGATGTGTGGATAGGATTTACAACCGCCCAGACACGTGCGGAAGGGGGGTTCAGAGTACAACCCGAAATTCTTCGGCCTCCACGAAATGAGATCAGTCGAACGACTATAAATTCTGCTCCGTCCTGGTTGGATTTCCGTTGGTTCAACACTTTCCTCCACCAGCATCATGGCACTTCTTCTCTCTGCCATCGTTTCTGCGCTACTATTGCTCTCCGTGGCTCCCTTGGCTCTCTCTCAGATCAGTCCGGGCTTTCCCTACGGCACTGAGAAGGTTCGTGGCGTAAATCTTGGCGGATGGCTTGTCCTTGAGGTTCGTCACCAATTTGCTACCTTTCCGCTGCCAGCAGCTGATCGTTGATGTCCCTCCCTTAGCCATGGATTACTCCCAGTTTGTTTGACAACACGGGAAACACGGACATAGTGGACGAGTGGACATTTGGCGAATTTCAAGATCTCGATACCGCAACGAGCGTCCTGCAAAACCATTGGAACACATGGATTACAGAGACGGATTTTGCCAATATTGCCGCCGCCGGGTATATGCTCATCCTTGGCGCCTTTCGAGCTCCTCTGACGCGATCGTCCCCAACTAATACAGATTGAATCATGTGCGACTGCCTATCGGTTACTGGGCATTTGAAGTTGGCCCCGGAGAGCCATACATTCAGGGCCAGCTACCCTACTTGCAGCAAGCAGTCACCTGGGCCGGGCAATACGGACTTAAAGTCATTGTTGATCTTCATGGTGCACCCGGAAGCCAGAACGGGTATGCAACGGTGCCTCCCTCTGCGGGGCTTGCCAACTCATGTTTGCCACGTAGCTTTGACAATTCCGGACAAAGACTGTCGTTCCCGGGATGGCACTCAAATCAGACAAATATCGATCGGACGGACGCTATCATCAAAACCATTGCATCCATGTTTGCTGACCAGCCGGATGTCGTACCCATAATAGCACCGCTGAACGAGTGAGGCCCATATTATATACGACCCGATGATAATCTGATGAAGATTGGCGCACAGACCTGCCGGATTCGATGGTCAAGCGGTGCTCACGGCGGTTAGGCAATACTGGTACGACTCCTATGGAAACATCAGGTGAGGATATTAAACCCAGAGATGGCCCGAAGTGTCTTACCCGTCTATATGTTAGATACCCATATGGCACATCCCAGCAGAGCAACACGGTCGAATTGATCCACGATGCCTTTCAGCCTCTCAGCTACTGGAGCGGATTCGAAACACCAACCGGGTGGCAGGGAGTGGCCATGGACACTCACATATACCAGGTGTTCTCCGATGCGGTAAGTTCACCCGAGTAGAGGCGCTGCAGTGGCACTGATTGATGAGCACATAGGATGTGGAGATGAGCTACCAGGATCATATCAACACGGCTTGTGCAACACAGTCGTCCCTTTCCACCTTTGACCTCTGGCTCATCGTTGGCGAATGGTCACCTGCCCCGACAGACTGTGCGACATATCTCAATGGGCGTGGCATTGGCGCGCGCTACGATGGATCATACCCGGGCTCTTCGTACGTTGGGAGCTGCACGGGACTGACGGGAAGCGCGTCAACCTTTAGCTCAAGTTACAAGACCTTTTTGAGACAATTCTGGGAGGCCCAGGTCATTTCGTACGAAAAGGGCGATGGATGGTTACAGTGGACCTGGAAGACTGAGAGTGCAGATGATTGGTCCTACTCGGCCGGACTGGCCAACGGTTGGATACCCCAAGACCCGACTGATCTGATGTACCCCGATATTTGCGGATAGACCACTCGTGAGGCTTTGATACTCTTTATTTGTTATACTTGTTCTTTATTTAGCGGGGCCTTGTAGAAATACCTTTCGGTGATTCATATCCATTCCTTCCGAGCGGAGATGTGTGTAACCCATATTAATCAGTATCTATAAGATCGAAAAGTGCAAGGTAAACCAAGTAGAATGCGCCTATCCTCTAAGCCCCAGCAACGCCGTACTTGCGAAGCACACCTTTCCAATCACCGATTTCTCCTCGTCCCATAGTCACGATAGTGGCGTTGTTGCCGGACTGCGGTCCAAATACCCGTGATGCAACGCGACGAATGGACTCCGGAGTAACCTGGTCGATAGCTGCTGTCATGTCCGTAACGGGAATCTTGCGCCCGTGGACAAGAATCTGAGTCACGCTGAGCATCTGGGACGGATTTCAAGATAACGATGACAAACCTGTCGACCAAGATCTTCTACTTCCACCGCGCGACTCTCGAGCGCCATCATCAAACTGGACTTGAGCTGGTTCTTGGCGCGTTCGAGTTCAGTAGCGGGTATGGATTGATAGATCAACAAGCTGAGCTGGTGCACGAGGTGGGGGAGGATCTGTGCAGGGGTGTTGCCTCGTTGTCCAGGAGCATTGGGGACAAATGACGCGAAGAGGCCGAACAGCGAGGAGTCGGTATAGATGTGGTGGAAAGACGCACAATGGTCAACCTGGGGGAAGTGATTCAGGATGTGGGTGTACAGACGAGAGTACATGCCCTTTCCAGGACCACCTGCGCAAACAAAAGTAAGTAACGCACAACACACGGACTGCAACTGCTTACCGGCAGAAAAGCTGCCTCCACCCCCTAATAGGACTTGCATGGTTGCGAGAGCGTAAATGTCGTCATCGTGAATACCGACACCTTCAAAGGAGAGGTAGAGTTGATCGAATTCCTGGGTGACACTGGGAATATGGCGAACTCCACCGACATAATTCGATTGGGAATTGAGCAACGGAACGTCGGATGAAGGTGATGAAGGGTATAGATAGGATGACGCAGCACGGGTTAGAGATTTGTACATGGATGGTGATGAGGAGGGGAGTAGGTGCGGGGGTACGGATTGGGAGGGGGAGGGTCTAGGGGAGGGAGGTGCAGGCATAGGTGCGGGCTTCAAGGAAGAAAAGTGTTTGTCGGCGAGTTCTACCAGCTGTTCGTGCTGCATGCCTGCTCCGGCAATGACCATTCTCTCGGGACGGTACCAGTCAGTGATGCAGCTCCGTAGGATGTCGGCAGTAATTGCGTCTACTCTGTCCTCGGGGCAAAGGAGGGGGTTCCCCAGAGTCTTGCCCCCATATGCAACGTCGTGCAGGATCTCTGGAAGTATCATCTCTGGCTTTGCACTGATTTCGCGAATCTCGTAACGAGCGGCGTCTCTCTGTGCGTCGAGTTCTTCTGGAAGGAAGGAGGGATTGAGGACGGTGTCGGACATGAGAGAGAGGGCGAGGGGAGTTGCTTGGTCAAAGTGGGAGGACTGGTACATGATTGATTCGCGGGAGGACGAGCACATTATTTGACCGCCCAGCTTGTCCATTGCGGTGGCCATTTCAGACTCGGAGCGTGAGCGAGTTGTCTACGGAGTATATTTAATCGCAGAATAGATGCAAGTAATGAATAGAGAGACTTACCTTGAAGGCCATTCTGTCCAAGAAATGGCTTACACCGGAGGTTGACGCATTCTCATAGCGTGAACCGGCATCGACGTAGAGGCCGACGGAGGAAAAATGACCAGGAGTTGATTCAGTTGCGACTCGAATTTTGTTGGGCAAAGTCGTGATTTGCAAGGGCGGTTGGGCTGCTCGAGAATAATGACGCGGGTGCCAGACATTGGCCCGTCGATTCAGTGAACTCGCTGCCTTGCGCATGACGAACGTGAGCAAGAAGTACTCTCACGTCCAGACAAATCAGGTAATTATAAAATGACTATAAAATACACAAATTAGGGTTAACAATCCCCATGCACAATGACTTACACGAGTTCACAGTCCTCTCACCGAGAGTCGCCGCACCCCCAGCAGGAAACAAAGTCTGTTATCACCAGCATAGTGACCGTAAAATACACTAAAAAAGAGTCCCTACCGTGGTTCGAACACGGGACCACACGATGCTTACGTAGCCATTGCAATCGTGTGCTCTACCACTGAGCTATAGTGACTTGTCGACTTCGCCCAAACTATGCTATCCGTGTGGTCTGCTGCCAGTTGCACTACTACACACTGAAATATTAATGACTCCCCCTACTCGACGTCCCCAACAGTCCATTTCGCGAACTCCAACACTTCAACTCCGCCTTCCAATAGCCCGTGCTCTTGGCCCCACTTGTCCAACCCAGTCCGCACAGTCTCGTTCGCTGCATCTCCCCCAAGCATCATGAACGGCTGGTCATAGAGTGCCATCCCATCCGCTTCACCTGGGAAAGACTGAATTGACTTCGTCTCGAAACCCACAATCTGTCGAGCGACAGCACGTTCCAACCGCTCTATATCCCGCATAAAGGCCTCAGACGATAGGCGATTCGACAGTTTCTGCGCTTTGAGCCCAATGACAGCCAAAGCACCTATACGACCCTGCGGAGTAGAGTTCACGGAGCCGTGGAGGTATGATCCCAGCCGTAGTCCCAATTCCGTCGTGTGCTGAGACAGAGGGCTTTGCACTACAGTGACTGCTCTCTTCAAGGAGACCTTCTCCCCTACTTTTGCAATGAGATCGCGAATAGAACTCGATACTGTCGACGATGAGTGTGACTGGGGATTGGTGCGCGAAAGTAGTGGGGCATCGTTCAACACGTCCAACGGGCATGAGTTAATCAGACGGTCCGACTCCACGGGCTCCGAGATGAAAGCAGCGGTATGGGCAATATCTGCGGCCAATTGTGTGAACAGTGTGTTTCGACCAACAAAATCTGTCTCGCAGTTCAGTTCGATCATAGCAGCGCGAATTCCGCCCCCTCCGAGACCACTGTTTGCAGTGCTGCCGCTTGACAGTACAGAGACGCTGACAAGTCCTTCACGGGCATCCCTCCCCTCTACTTTTGCCGCTTTCCGCGCCCCAGACGTAGCGAGATCTTCTTCTAGCCAGCGAAGAGCTGCATTGACGTCGTTATTGCTGGCAACCAGTGCCTCTCGTGCTTTCGAGATAGACACCTCGGTGAGCTTCCTTAGCTGTGCAACAAGCTGCAGAGAGGGCTTTGAAGAGGGTGTCGAGTATGCGCGAGAGGCCTGACATTGAGGGAGAAGCACCTTGCGAGGGCTTGATAAGCGGGTGATCCTTGAGCTCAGCATGACGGTGAAAGCTTTCAGAAAATTTCCACCGCGCTACGCGTCGATCGAAAGGATCACATGATCGCTCGGCCCTTTTGGACCTTCCACGAAATCCTTCACCTTGGAAAGCAGGATTTCACTCCAAAAGCTCTCTTATCGAGCATGGATTTTCAATTCAAAGTCCCAGAAAACATTCCCCAGGATATCCTGCTGATTCAGGATTTGGTTGGGGTGGTCACCCCCGTCAAACAAGATCATCGTAAGGACGTGCATATCGAGTCCAGTGACGATTCTATCGACAGCTCCGGCAGCGACGGGGACTCCGAGGATGAAGTGGAGGCCAATCTACTTATCACTCCCGATGAAAAAGCGACTGCATCTCCACCACTGTGAGAAATATTTTAGCTTGCTCTAGCACGTCTAAAACTACTAGCATCCAGACCAGCATTGTCCGACTCGACGTCAGATTCTGATTCTGATGCAGACTCGGACTCGGACTCTGATAGCTCTTCGGACATCCAGCAGGATGTCGGAGCGGTTTCGCATCCACCTAAAACACAATTTGATATGGACGACGACGAAGAATCAGGGCCAGCACCGGCGACTTATGTGCAGACCAAAAATGAGGTCGTCGACGCAGACATTATAGTACCTTCCATCTCAGAAGTCGGCCCAGACGAGGTTATAGAGAAAGTAGGGGAAGTGATGAGCATCGTCGGGAATGTGGTGATCGTCAAAGGTGTTGCCTCTGACCTCATTAAACTGGCATCAGAGAGAGCCCTGGATGCCGAGACGCTGCTTGTCTTTGATGATAGAAAGGTTCTAGGACATGTGAGCAAACATATCTTGCCCTCTTTTCTACTATCTCACGATCTTCTCATCGCTAGATATACGAGACTTTTGGACCAACGTCTCAACCAATGTACCAGGTCAAATTCAACCAGAAATACCCACTTGACACGGAAAAAGTTCGAGTTTCTCGTGAGGTCTATCATTTACCTCAGCGGAGCAACTTTGTCTTCGTCGACCACCTCAAGAAGCTTAGGGGCAGCGATGCCAGTAACTTACACGACGAAGAACCCGCAGAGGATGAACTCGAGTTTTCGGACGACGAACAAGAAGCCGCATTCAAAAGCCGCAAAAAGAGGTGCGTGACTCGCCGTTCTCAACTTGCCCACATCTCATACAAATTGGCGCAGGCGGGGACAGTCCGTGTCTTCTTCTAGACAGACAACTCCCGGGCCTTCTCAGCCGCACTACGACGATATGAATGACGCCGCGTTCTACGGAGCAAACCCATACGACGCACATGGCCCGTATGACGAGGATTTTCGTGCCCCTGGGCCTTCTCGTCCTCCCCCGGTGCCTTATGATGATCCATACGCAGAAGAGTTCAAGAGCGACATTTTAAATTATGAAGATGGTCCCTCCCAAAGCCCTGCACAGAGCCCCTCACAGACTGCGGGTGCTCCGGCGCCGCAGCACAACTACGACTTCGAGGGTAGGTTTGCTGGAGGGCGAGGGCGTGGAAGAGGGCGTGGACGAGGAGATGTGCGTCCTTCGCGAGAACGTGGGGGCCGAGGTCGAGGAGGCCGTGGGAGAGGAGACCGCAGCCGTCGTCCGGGAGGCTGGACTTCACAAGATAACCCGTCGCCTGCTGAACGCCGCGAATCACCACAAATACCGCGGTCGCTATCCCCAACCTCTCTCGCGATAGAGCGCGCAACAGGCCAATTCGCAGGCGGAATGGCAGGATATCAACCCATGCAACAGGCTGCTTCGTCGTCGTGGGCTTATGTACCCCAGGGTGATACACAGGCTCAGTCTTACCAGCAGCAGCAACAGTACGTCCAGCCGCATATCAATCCACGATTTGCTTCGGCTTTTGGTTTCAACATGAACGTTGGACCTGCTCAATGGTACGGGTATGATTATGGGCAGCCACACGAAGCTCCTAGTAGCAATGGGTACCAGGGTTCTGACCCCCAGCGGGATTGGACTGAGGAGTGGACTGTTCATGGACATCCCTCCGGTGACAACGGTGGAGCCCATTACCCCCCGGGATAAGCCTTACAACTTGACCGGGTATATAGACTTGTTGTATTGACACACCAATACGATATTATCACAGTGCAACCAGTTCTTGTATGTTGACGAAGACGGCTTGTAGGGGCCAAGTTGACTGGTGATTCCCGGTTTGGCTTGACCTTATTCGCAACCAGTTTACGATCGCAATCGTGATTTTGATTCCATGTCGCCTTTCACAATCATCGTCGCGGCTACCAAGGCCAATGGCATCGGACAAAATGGCCGTTTACCATGGCGATTGCAAAAAGAAATGGCGTACTTTGCTCGCGTCACGTCGAGTGCTCCGGAGGGACTGATGAACGCCGTGATCATGGGGAGAAATACATGGGAGAGCATTCCGAAGAAGTTTAAACCACTTCCCCGTCGCGTCAACGTCGTTATAAGTCGAAGTAAAGAGTATCAACTGTCAGTCACTACTTTCCTTAACCTCAGGGTGCATGCTCATCGCGTGGTAGAAGCTCGCCAGACTCTCCGCCATCGTCTACGCCGGCATATCTATACCATGACCTGGAATCTGCAGTACGATACCTCGACCACTCCGACCAAGCTATACACCGGCGATTCATTATTGGAGGCGCTTCGTTGTACTCCGAGTCGCTTGCACTCTTTTCGTCCTCACCGCCTCCGGCTTACCGAGCAGACCGCGTTCTGTTAACACGCATAATAGCTCCAACTTTTGATGAATGCGACGTCCACATGCCGGATTTTCTTGCGACGGGTGAGGATGGGCAATGTGGGTGGACAAGGGCGTCCCACGAGGAGTTAGAGGCATGGGTTGGAAGCGAAGTGCCGGCGGGCTTCCAAGAGGAAAACGGTGTTAGCTATGAGTTTCAGATGTGGCTTCGACGAGTATAAGGCAATATACAGGAGGTCTGGATTTCAAAATATCCTTCTTGCGCGTTTGCGCCCCAAACAGTCTCCCTCCCACCTCGAAGCAGAATCAGCCCGTATGGTCTCAAAAGCTACCCTTGCCGCTAGAGGCAGGTCAGAAAGAAGCTCCTGGAGGTGAAAAAATTTTAGGGTACCTGCTTGTGTTTCGGGTTCTTTGAGCATAGCACGTATACTCTGCCCTTCCGCCTGACAATGCTGCATCCATCACACATGACTTTTACGGATGAGCGAACTTTCATGCCTCTTGTGAGTGCTGGTATTGACGGGTTAACTGAGGGAGGGATGAGATGGGAGTGATTGTGGACATGAGGGAGGGTAGTAGAGCGAAAGCGCATAAGCAGTGGTCTGCTCGACGATAGTAATGCTCGTAGCATGGTTATAGTTAGTATTACTATTAGCCTTTGCCTTGCAAGCAACGTTCAACTCCTCATAGGCCGATAGAAGATGCCACGTGACCATTAATTTATGTACTCTGTCTGCTGTTTGCATAGCCCTCCCGTCTCCTGCTGCAAAGCCTGCCGTGAGATGTAGCTGTTCGTCCTTATCAACTATCATTATCTCAAAAGTCTAAGCCATCCCTTTCATTCCCCTCATTTACCACAAGACACACTGCCAACCATGTCGGGCACACACGATGGCCCCGCTACATTCCGGCTAGGCGGTAATGCCGCCCTATTATTGTTTGCTGCAGTTCTCGTTGCGTTTGTTGCCGAGTCGCAGCTTACACAGGTAAGCGCTGTAACTAGCTCTGTTGTACTTCATCTGGCACTTACTCTCTTCAGTATGTACAGACTACGCTTGGGTACCACCACCCATTCTTCCTCTTGTCAGTACTCGCCTCTGCTCGTTTTACAGTCTCCTGACCATCTCGTCCAGCTACCTCGTCCATACGTCGTTTATTGTCTCGTTTCCACTC